TCATATTTATACATCTGATACAATTCAGATCACCTTCAACACTCAGTCACACACCCAGGGCCGTTTCAAGACATTCTGGGGGCCAAGGCAAAAGGGAACCCCCCAACCCTAACCCGTACATTATAGACATGCCACCATTAACAGCAGAAATTAAATGTTATTACCACTTTCCAACACAAATGCATGTTAATGGAATGCATTTATTTTACTGGACATATTTATGTGTTATTTTGACTAAGATGAGTTATTAATACAAACCTAAAATGTTACCGAGATGTAGGTCAAATATATAAAAATATTTTAACCATAAATATCAGACGGGAAAAAGGAACTAAACACCGATCTGATGCATATTATTGAACCTTTTATAATATTAGCCTTTAAGAAAGTGCGGCAGAGTTGAATGCACAGAGTACGCATGTGCTGGCGCACCGGTCAGGATGGTACCACCGCTGCCTCAGTCTGAGCCAGGGTAACCCTGTGGCCTGATATTGTGATTTAAAACTTTTGGAATCAGGTGAAAAAGATTGGATTTAACTTTATAAAGCAATGAACTTGGCCTTTTACATTTATCCTCGGACAGAGCTCTTCAAACTAAATGACAATGGCTTAGTTTTAATTCTAACTGCTCTGCTTTTAGTTCTAGTCCGTCACCTTAAAACCAAAGATGCACTAAAGAAATACACTACAACAAAGACAAATTGCCTATGAACAGCAAAAACAGTCACGATAGCAGAATATTAATCACACTGGAAGACTCTCCCTGGGACGCCACCCTACGTGGTGGAGGGGTGTGAGTGTCTCAATCATCCTAGGAGCTAAGTTGTCTGAGGCTTTATGCCTCTGGTAGGTTCACCATGGCAAACAGGTTCTACGTGAGGGATCAGAGAAAGTGCAGCCCGAAGACCCCTCATGAAGAAAAACATCAATGAAAACAGCCGTTTCCTCGTTCAGGACACAAGTCACTGGGGCTGCCCTCTGGAGCCAGGCCTGGTGTTGGGGCATGTTGGAAAGTGCCTGGTGGCCGGGCTTTTACCTATTGAGTTCAGCCAGGCACAGCTCAAGGAGGAGACGTGGGCTCCCCTTTCCATGAGCTCACCACTCGTGGAGGGGCCAAAGGGGTCAGTTACATTGTGCATTGGGTGGTAGCTGAAGGCTGCGACCTTGGCGGTCTTGTTGATCAGCTACAAAAGCTAGCTCTTGTATGTGGAATGCCATCAATGTGTGAGGTGAGAGGTTCCAGCTAGATATAGTTGGACCACTTCAACGCAGGACTCTGGTTCCAGAACCAGTTTCCTTGAGAGGAGTTGGACTTTCTACCACTCTGGAGTTGCTCCCACTGAGAGGCGCCATGCAGGGATGGGCATACTTGATACCCCCCATCTTAGTGCCTGTATGTTGGGGTTTACTCCAGTGAATGAGAGGTAGCCTCCCTCTGTCTACATCTGGGGGGACAGGTCCTTATTGTGGTTTGTGCTCATGCACCAAACTGCAGCTCAGACCACCCACCCTTTTTGAAGTCCATGGAGAGGGTGCTGGAGAGCGCTCCTTCAAGTGACTCCGTTGTTCTGCTGGGGGACTTTACCGCTCATGTGGGCAACAGCAGTGAGACCTGGAGAGGTGTGGTTGGGAGTAAAGCCCCCCTGATCTGAATCTGAGCAGTGTTTTGTAACTGGACTTCTGTGCACATCATAGATTCCCCATAACAAACACCATGTTCAAGCATAAAGGTGTCCATTTGTGCTCTTGGCACAAGGATACCTTAGGCCGCAGTTCAATGATTGACTTTGTTGTCATTTCATCAGATCTGCGGCCGCATGTCTTGGAAACTCGGGTGAAGAGAGGGGCAGAGCTGTCAAATGACCACTATCTGGTGGTAAGTTGGCATCAATGGTGGGGGAGGAGGGAAGGAGGTGGCAGGCCTAAATGTATTGTGATTGTCTGCTGGAACGTCTGGCTGAGTCTCCTGTCAGAAGAAGCTTCAATTCCCACCTCCAACAGAATTTCGAACACGTCCGAGAAAAGTGAGCGACACTGGGTCTGAGTGGGCCAAGTCCGCGCTTCCACTTGTCGAGGCAGTTGACTGAGCTGTGGCCACAGGGTTGTTTGTGGCTATCGTGGTGGCCACCCCCGAACCTGCCGGTGGACACCGGCGGGTAGAGATGCTGTCAAGCTGAAGAAAGAGTCCTAGCGGGTCTTTTTGGCCTGTGGGACTCCAGAGACAGCTGATGGGTACAGCAGTCCAAGCAGAATGCAGCTCGGGTGGTTGTGGAGGCAAAAACCCGGACATGGGAGGAGTTTGCTGAGACCATGGAGCAAGACTTCTGTACGCTCTGCTCATAACTTATATGGACAGAATTTCTAGGCGCAGGCAGGTGTTGAGGGGGTATATTTTGGTGGCCTAAGAATCAGGTCCAGGGGCGGCGTTAGGCCCGGCTACTTGGCTGAAGCCCCGAATGTTTAATGAAAAGCCCCGGATCTCAAACGTGGAAGTAACATGCAGTACCAAAGTCCAACAGAGAGGGCGCAGCTGGCAGTAGTTTGTATCCAGCCTGCCTGAGCCTCCACCACTGAAGAAGAAGCCTTCAGCAGCCGGCTTCTTCTACACTCTCTGCCTGAAACGCATGAGTGAAGATGGACATAAGGACGTTTTTAGACCAAAAGTACGGCGACAGAACCCAAGCTTTGATGAGACTGGTGCTGACTCAGGTTTGTGAGTCTTATTTGAAAATATTTGTTGTGCTGCTGGTTTGCCTAAAGTTAGCTTACTATCAGGTAAAGTTGTTGGAGAAGAGCGTGAATATTTACTATCATCTCACACTAAACACTAACAGGAACAATACTCTGGCCTGAAAATGCTGAATATGTAGCTTCAGATTAAACATTATGTGGTACAAGACATGTATATATATATGATGTTGACTAGTGCGTGTGTGTGCGCGTGCGCGTGTTAAGCCCCGGATCTTCTTCAGTCCTTAATCCGCCCCTGATCAGGTCTATGCTTTTGCAGATGATGTGGTCCTTTGGCTTCGTCAGAAGGTGGATGACAATCAGCTCCTCTAATCTGAGACCATGGTCTTGAATCAGAAAAGGGTAGAATGCCTTCTCCAGGTCAGGACAAGGTTCTGCCTCAAGTGGAGGAGTTTAAGTATCTTGGGGTCTAGTTCACGAGTGGGGGAAAAATGGAACGCGAGATTGATAGGCGGAAAAGAGAGTTGAGCTGGAAGGCAAACCTCTCGATTTACCAGCTGATCTACGTTCCAACCCTCACCTGTGGTCACGAGCTTTGGGTAGTGACCAAAAGAACGAGATCACGGCCAAAATGAGTTTTCTCTGCAGGGTGGCTGGGCTTTCCCTTAAAGACTCGGAGTAGACACGCTGCTCCTCCACATCGAAGGGAGCCAGTTGAGGTGTCTCGGGCACCTGGTCAGGATGCCTCCTGGACGCCTCCCTGGTGAGGTTTTCCGGGCACGTCTAACTGGGTGGAGACCAAATGGAAAACCCAGGACACGCTGGAGGGACTATGTCTCTCAGCTAGAAAGTTAACACCCGACTCCAGATAAATGGATGAAAATGGATGAATGGATGACTCTGTGGCAGCGAACAGTTTTGCAGTCCCGGGAGCGGCGGTACGAGCTGCTTTCTCGTCACTATTTTACACATCCAGCACTACAGGTGCTGTGCAAAGGAGAGAGAGCCTAGCAGCCGCAGCATGGGTGCACTCATGGTAATGTTTATCACGTAACACAGCCACACACTTTTTAAACAATTTGAGTTATGAGAAAACAGGCCATTATTAAACATATTTTAAACACTAACCCGTTTCTTATCAATCTTCTTAACTGAGAGATGTTTTTGGCAGCTAAACTGAGGAAATGATGAAAACAGGAAGTTCAGCCCTTTTAAAAGACAAGTTCTGTAGCCGTTTAGTGTCGAAAGATAAAGTTACTAAACAAATAAATAATAAAAATACCTTAACAGACAACTTTGATGTTTTCAGCTTTTTTCTTAATGTAATGCGTTGCTGAAGTACTGGATTGGGACTCGGTATTAAAATCACACGACAGACCGGGGGTAAAATAATGTGATCAGAACATAATGATGAATATTTTCTTGTAATATTCCACAAAGAAGGGACAAATTAAATATCAACATAACATTTTACATTTATAAATCTGTCTAAGGTTGAGTATTTCCTTCTTCTGCAGCTCTTTGAAGGCTATTTTAAAAATCTTGCTCACCCTAAATTTCTGACGGTTACCATCCTTTACAGAAATATTTGACTCCAACCCTCCCTTGAAAACACGTTATAGAAATTCAAGCCTTTTCTAGGATTGCAAGCACCTGTATGAACCCTGTGTCTTATTTATGTTTTATTTTCAACAATAAGAATATTGCATATGTGTGTGTGTGTGTGTGTGTGTGTGTGTGCGTGTGCTACACACACCTGGTGAGTGCTGCGAGGTGGCCAGTGAAGTCATGGAGTTTGACAGGTTGAGGTTGGCAGTGATGCTCAGCTGGCTCTGGCTGGTGGGGGGGTACGGGGAGGTGGGAGTCCGGAGCTGCTCCTCCCCTCGCTCCTCATCGGCCGTTGGGAGGTAACTGTCAATTAGGGCCTCCAGAAACTTGACAATCAACTCGGCATAGTCTGGGATCTGTGTTTGCTGTGAGGTTAGAAAACACAAGGTCAATGCTGCAGGGAGCAACATACTCATTAGCACCACAACCAGACTCTTCCGAGTCCTCTACCACCTTCCTCACCCATGGTGTCCCACAAGGTTCTGTGCTGGGGCCTCTGCTCTTCCTCCTCTATCTGCTTCCTCTTCAGCACATCCTGAGCTCCATTAAAGGAATCTCCTACATCTTTATGCAGATGACATCCAACTGTACATCTCCTTTAAGCCCCATGAGATGTCTAAGCTGCAGCTGTTACACACCTGCTTAGACTCTATCAGAACCTGGATGGTGGGAGCTTTCTTCAGCTGAATGAAGATCAGACTGAGATCCTCATCTGTGCCCCAGACAAGCTGGTTCCCAAAGTCAGAGACTCTCTTGGTCAGCTTGCTTCCCACACCAAACCTTCTGTCAGGAATCTTGGTGTGACCTTTGACCCAGCTCTCACCCTGGATTCTCATGTCAGTTCTCTTGTTGGCTCTTCCTTCTTCCATCTCAGGAACGTTGCTAAGCTGAGTCCCATTCTGTCCCGCTCTGAACTTGAGACAGTTCTCCACACCTTCATCTCCTCACGCTTAGACTACTGTAAATCTCTTTTCACGTGTCTGAGCAGAACCACCCTGAACCGTCTACAGGTGGTTCAGAACGCCTGTGCTCGGCTTCTGACCAAGTCCTCCAAACACACCCACATCACCCCGCTTCTCCTCCAGCTTCACTGGCTGCCAGTCAACTTCAGGGTTCATTTCAAGATCCTGGTTCTGGTCTATAGGACCTTACATGGACAAGCACCATCTTACATTGGTGATCTTCTTAGTCCCTACACCCCCAGCAGGTCCCTGAGGTCCAGTGACCAAAGACTACTGGTTGTGCAGCACCAGGCTAAAGGTCAAAGGTGACAGATCATCTGCTGCTGTGGCCCCCAGACTCTGGACCTCTCTCCCCCTGAGCCTGAGATCAGTGGACTCAGTGGTCTCCTTTAAACTCACCTGTTCAAGCTTTGGTGTGACTTCATCACCAACCTCTCCTTATTTCGCCTTTCCCAGCATCCACTGATTTCCCTCTTTCCTATTAATTTTCTCTCTCCCTTTCCTTACATTTTTTTTAATTCAAAATTTTTTCATTTTAAACATATTTTAATGATTCTTAAAAGTATTTTTTATACTTTAATTTTGTTTTGTTTTGTGAAGCACCTCATGATTTTTATCTTGAGAGACGCTAAAGATAGTTTTCTTCCTTTCTTTCATCAGATGAAAACAACCCCACAGCAAAACTACCTGCTCTAGAACTCAGCATGTCTGGTTCTACTCAATAAAACATAGTATGGTTGAATGGCTCGAGTCATTCTCTGTGGTGTGTGTGTGTGTGTGTGTATTACGGGTCTTACTCACTCATGTCTATAGGATGCTTATATCTCAAACCTGATTGGCTAATAGCAGCACAACCTTCTTCTAACTCACAGGGGAAATTAGTATTCAAAGCCTTGAGACAATACTTTTGCATATCATAAATATTAGCAAGTCTCCAAATCTGGTCCTTTTTCCGCCTGATCTGACAAAATAAAAGCTCTGAAACAGGAGTGCCAGCGCACTCATCTACACAAAATGACTCACAAGGCATTCATCAATACTAGAGACCACGGCAGACAAATTAAAATAACAAGTTAATGAGACCTTTATTGGAATGAGTTTTATTATTACCTTAGAAAAAGGTCCAGCAAATCTCCACAGTCCATTAAAACCAAAGCCTGTGAAATAAGAAGCAGACAGCCTCAGAGTCACATCAGCAGACATTACTTTGGTCTAGGGATGTGTACTGGTGAAACTAGGGCGATACGACACGCAGCACGATACA